TGCCCTGACTTGGAGTGAATGTGTAAAACATGCAAGACTGCAGCGGCGCTTGCTTTCAGTACCAAGGCGGTAGGCGAGGAGCAAACTCCTCAAATGGTATATAAACAGCAGGCTATAGGACGAAGCGTAGAGGGTAGCCTTACCCCGAAAAGCTATGCCGAAGCTGTGAGCACGAAGGAAAGTGTTGGAGGAACTATCACAGGCTCACAGTCAGAGTGTAAAGCAGTACAGATAGATAAGCCAAAAGCGAAGAAACCGGCAAGGAAGTTCAGGGCTGGTGGTGTCTGTGCAACGACCAGTGCACAGAATCCCCTACTACAGAACAGGGTGCAAAACCTCACGGTTCCGGATCTTCAAAGCAAAGTTAACCTCCTCAGCAAAGAGTTAGAAGCCCTTTCTGGCAAGAGAATGAGTAACTGCAACAGAACAGTGCTCATTCTCAACAACGGGGAGCCTATGATCAGAGAATCGAAAACCTGAAGAGAAATGGATCGAAGGAGGGCAGTGGATATCCTGCGGCTGGCACGATTAAATCCCCAAAATTCCCTCCGAAGAGTGAACAGGGTGGGAGTTTGGAAGAACCCTGGGCCGGGTAGGCAAATTTCAGCACAACCAATTCTCATAGAACTCAACAATCCGGGTGTACGAAATCTGCTCCTCGCGAGGGCTGGTTGGATAGCGAATCGTACGCAGGGACGATTTAGGATAGTCCCTGACCAACCAAGTCAGCTTCTCGGGCCCCAAAATAGAGAGGTTTCTACTCTCAGTGTGCAGCTAGTTGCAGTGGACCTTATTACAAATAGCAGAAAAATGTCCATCGCCTGCGTGTATAGGGATCCTAGCGTCACCAGACTGGTCGTTATGGGTGACCTCAATCTAAGGTATGTTGACTGGGACCTCGGGAGGTGTCCTCGAGGTTCAGGCGAAAGCTACCTCGAATGGATTCAATCCCGGGCTCTTTATCAGCACGTGAAGGAAAACACGAGGTATCTGGAAGGCCAACAGCCGTCGCTGTTGGACATGATCATCACAGCGCAGGGGGAAGAAGGACGAAGTCTAGAGTATCACCCTCCTATCGGTAAAAGTGATCATCTTCTCATCAAGTTGACACTTCAGTTGAAACAACCCAAACCCCGTGAAGGGATGTGTAGGACCTTGGGAAGGATTGACGTGTATCTACTCCGAGCTAAGTCAGCTCAACTGAGTTGGCACAGTTTGGAGCCGCACGCGGACGTAGAAGAAAGCTGGAGTATAATCAGAAACAACCTGATGAACCTCCAAGATGAGTTTGCTCCCTTAACCTACAAAGGTTCAAGGAAGAAGCCGCCATGGTGGCGCGCCGCTGTAGGTAGGGCAATGAAACGTAGAAACAGAAGCTGGAAAGTTTTCCGAGCTTCCGGTTCCCAGATGGCTTGGAGGCAGTGCACGAGACATCGTAACGAAGCAGTTTCGCTCATTAGGAAGGGTAAAAGGGACTTTGAGTTGAAACTAGCCAGCCGAGCCAAAAGAGAGCCGAAACGCTGCTACAGCTACGCTCAAGCCAGGGGTCCCAATAAAAGGATGATGGGACCTCTACAATTGGAAGGTAGGACCGTCACCGAAGACCAGGAAAAAGTAGACGCCTTTTGCACATACTTCAGTAGTGTGCATCTAGTAGATCACGACGATCTGGCACTACCGGATCTCGTCCCCTCATCAGAGGAAATGGAGAATATGTATGTGTCATTAGAAGTGGTTCGTCGGATATTAGCGGAGCTGAACGTAAGTAAGTCTTTAGGGCCCGATGGAATCCACCCGGCAATCGTCAAGCCGATCGTGGACATAGAAGCGGGAACGCTGAGGGATTTGTACCAAGCCAGTTTAGATCAGGGCAAGCTACCGAGGGATTGGAAAACAGCTGCTGTTGTTGCAATTCACAAGCGAAGATCACAATCCCAGATTAAGAATTACAGACCGGTGAGCCTAACAAGTATATTGTGCAAGTGCCTATACCGGATATTGAGGACGCACATCGCACAGCATTTACTCTACAACTCAATGCTTACTGACCAACAGCACGGGTTTACCAAGGGTAGATCATGCCTACCTAATTTACTGTTTTTTAGATGAGGTAACCTCGAGGTTAGATGAGGGCAAAGCTGTGGAAGTCTGTTATTTAGACTTTTGCAAGTCTTTTAATTCCGTTAATCACAGGTTTCTGTTAGCTAANACTTGGCTGCCATCCTACGTTCGCCATGCTTCATCTTTGCAGATGATGTCAAGATCGTGGGATCAGCCAGTCGGCAGGAATTGCAGGATGACCTGCGCACAGCAACGGAATGAACAACAGTATGGGACCTCCCACTGAATGCAGAGAAGAGTAATTTACTTTCTCGTGCTGATGAACAGTTTTCAATCCATTTCGGTTGAACGAATTTCACTGCAAGGATTGTAAAAACCAGCAGAGATTTAGGGNGGAATGAACAACAGTATGGGACCTCCCACTGAATGCAGAGAAGAGTAATTTACTTTCTCGTGCTGATGAACAGTTGTCAATCCATTTAGGTGGAGGGGATTTTACCGCAGGGATTGTAAAAACCAGCAGGGACTTAGGAATATCGGTGGCGGCAGATTTACGCTGAGAGAACCAGTGTGTACTGGCTGCAGCGAGGGCGAGGAGAGAGCTGTTCAGGCTCAAGTCGGTAAATCGTGTAGGAAACCCGACGTATTCCTACCCCTGTACAAAGCCATAGTTAGGCAACACTTGGAGTACTGCGTGCAGGCTTGAATACCCTTCCTCAAAAAGGATGCAGCCTGTTTAGAGAAAGTTCAAAGACTAGCCACCCGAACGACTGAAGGCCAAAAGGGTAAGTCATACCGAAACAGACTAAAAGACTTGGGACCCTTCTCGCTAAAAAGGAGGAGGCCAAAAGGAGACTTACTGGAGACCTTTAAGATTGTAAAAGGGCTCTCGGGAGTAAGGAAAGGAAGCATGTTGCAGGAGGCTATCCACCAAGGAACTAGAGGGAACGGGTACAAACTGCATAAACAGCGATGCAACTTGGTTGTTAGATCCAGATTCTTCATAAACAGAGTAGTGAACAGTTGGGACCGGTTGCCAAAGGAATTAGTAGATTTAGGAAGCATGACTGCATTTAAGCGCTCCCTGGAGGAACGATGGTTAGAGCTCTTTCCAGAATAGGATCTTTATTGTAATATGGAACACCTTCATGACCCATGTCCCTTGTTCGCCGATGAGGTGAAAGGAGATGAGCTTTTTCTTTTCCCTTTCAGCAAAGACGCCGTACTGAAGGCAATTCGCAGTGGTGGGTGCAAACCTTGTGAGCATACTGCCGGATGAAATCTGGACGCTCGATTGCCCGTGGTCATTATCAGTCCTGTGCAACCTGACCTGATCTGACCTTGGCGGTACGTTCGAATCTTGAATCTTGCTCTCTGAATAAACCGTGAATCTTAAAGGTTTTATTGTGTGAAACCAACTCTATTATGGTTTCACTTTGGTATTACACTTCAATAAGTGTGGTTTTACCGTATTCACACTGTTTTTCGTAAAGGTGTTAGCCGTTTTCGGATCTTTTATTACCCGAAGTTTGAATTTGTTCAAATTAAGCTCGTATTTGAGGTACTTTTTGTCCATTTTCTCTCGTTGTAAACCTTGCCATCGATAGTAACATGCCTAGAGCTGCCTTCCCCTGCTTGAGTGAGCAATGTGGAAAGTGGGTAGTTAATGGCATCGAATGTGAGGTTTGTGAGAAATGGGCACACGCAAATTGCTCTGGGATAACACCATAGAGATATGCCGTCTACTGCAACGATCCAGGGTTGCAGTGGGTCTGTAAANAATCATGCCTAGATACCGTTGCCAACGGGATACCTCAAGAGAAACTATCGGTTATCAGCCTAACCGAAGAGAGCAAGAAAATGAATCTGCCGAAAACATACGCGGATGCTGCAAAAGCTAACGCTGACCCCACCATCCGGGGATGCAAGGGGAGTAGCAAAGCTAAGACAGCAGCCGTTTCTACTGTACCGCGTGCGGTCAGGGCGCCTCTTGCCAAAACCTTAAAGGTTGAAGCTACTGGCAAAGGCTCGAGTAAACCCAATGGGGTCACGAAAAACATCCTATATGAACTAGAAGATCAAATAAAGGAAATCAGTGAGCGACTTAGGTCACTGAAAGCAACAGAGGGGGGCCAAACTGGTGTCCATAGGACACTTTTGATCTTCAACAATGAAGAGCCGCTAGTAAAGCAGACGAAAGATCGTCGGGACATGGATAGACGCAGGGTGCTAGATATCCTAAGGATAGCTGGCATAGAAAGATGTAAACTCAAGCGGGTCCACAGAGTAGGCGTATGGCGGGGGACAAAAAATGGTCAACCCCGAGCGGCTAGACCACTTCTGGTGGAATTTGCCGACCAAGCCAGTAGAAATCTACTACTGGCAATCTCTGGGAGAATATTCAGCGTAACACAGGGTAGGTACATAGTAACCATGGACGTGCCCAGGGGGCTTAGAGGGCAAGGTGCTGTTGGAGCACCCAGGTTGCACAGTCACTTGCCGAGTCAATTCGATGCGACTGGAGGAAACCGATCTCTTACGACCGGTCGAAATAAGGTT